AAGTTGCCGGCTGGGCTTGAACCACGATAATATATTATGAGACATGTATAATGAAGATGTGCAAGGAAAGAATGAAGCTTTTTTTCAAATAAGTCCCGAGAGGATTAGCAGCAGCAGTACAATTACAATTAATAAGGTCATATTATAACAACCTTAGCTGTACAGGTACTTTTTCCTTTTGTCAATGGCTGTCTTGGGAAGTAGACCATGCCAAGAGCAGGATGCACAATGAGGAGTAGCTGCCACATGAATTTCATAAATGGATTTAAGCTTATTCCTGAATCTCGGCTGCTGTTCGTCATATGAAGAAATTCCCTCTGTCACTTTTGCATGAAAGCTTGTCTTAAAGAGGTAGTTGAGAAGGCTCCAAGTGCTCTGTCTCAGTGATGCCTCGGGCAAATAACCCTTTGCTGTCAGAGATGTTTTTGGAGGATTTTCTCAGCACAGAACAACAATCAGAGCGCCTTATGCTACTCTTGACGTGAAGTGAAAAAAATTACGAGACCTCTGGAAACATGTCTCCTCTGTGTTTTTAAATATCACATTCATTCAAGAATGGGCTTTTGAGGGTGTTAAATCAAATGTGTGAGAGCAGAGGGAATCTGCACAACAGTGACAGAAAGGGGGTATCATGAGATGTTGGGTTGGTGCATTCTGCATTTTTCACTTCTTGATGTAACCAGGGCTGGCCTGTACCCCAGGAAAATGGGGTCCATCCCCACCAGAGCTTCATAAACTTTGTTAAAATCCTTCTTGATAGGATGAACAAACAACGCAGTTGTAGCATGGGGCAGTGGCTGAAAGCATAGACCTCCACAAACCTGCTGCAACATGCAGCTACTCACGCATGGGAAGCTGTTGTAGCCTGCACCATGTTTCCATAGGATTTATTTTCTCTAATATTTAAACAAAGAGGTGTATTTGCACACCTGATCGACTGTTTTCAGTAAGGATTTTGCTAGTTCTCCCCACACCCGCAGAGGTGGAAATATGGCCAGTTGGGTGAAGTATAAGAAGGGTAGGGGAATCGTAGGAGGTAATGGCCATATTTTCTTTTTGTTGTCTTTTTTTTTTTTTTTTTTTTTTTTTAAAATGTGACATTTTTTTTTTTTGTTTTTTTTTTTTTTTTTTTTTTTTCTGAAATGTGACAGCTTTCTTATTAGTATTATTTTCACTGGGGGAAAAAGGTAACAAACCCCTTTATGGTTGGATTATTTTGCTCTATGGTATTCACTTCTCAAGCCACTGGTTTGTTATATGAATGAGCAGGCATGTGCAAACAGAAGTCTACTTCAACATACTCTGTTGACATTCCCACCAACAAGAAGAGCACTAAAGCTGCCACTGGTTCAGGTTAGGGCACGGAGGGTTTTTAGGCTGGTATTTCACTAGGCAATATTCTGCTTCAAGAGCCAGGATGAGGTCTGGGGCCAGAACAGAGTGCATGTCTGGGTGTGAATCAGATACATGGCGTCCTGTCCTCTGCTGGTGGTAGGGCTGCTGTCAGGACGGAGTCACAGCCCCAGGCACTTTAGTGTCTAGAAGTTCTGTCCTCTGCTGTCAGTCAGGACTAGATTTATGCTGACGCTAATCACAGGAGTCAGAGTTGGTTCTTTCCTCGGGCATGGCTGTGTTCGTATTAATGCATATGATCATGGCCAGATTTCTACTAACTTGGAAATCTTCCTAAAATCTTGCTGTTTTGTAAGAGGAAATGGTGTCATGATGCACTGGAGATTTATCTCTCTTGTAGAATGAGCTACAAACCATACACAAACATAGGACTACATGTAAAACTACTTCTTACTACTACTTACATTCTGTAAGTTTTCATAAACATCTTTTATTATTAATGCTTGAAGTTGTGGTGGAGTTCTTGCATATTTGTGCACCTTGCTGGTGATACTGCTGGCTATCACTTTGCTCACAGAGATGAGCATGTGCAGACCTGGGCTGGGCTTGAAGACAGGCAGCTAGAAGGCAATTGCAAGACAACAGGCATGCTTTCTGTCTGCCAGCATGGAGAAACTAAATATTCTGTATTATTGTTTTGTTTGGATTGAATTTTTTCCTTAAATTTTTGTCACTTTGAATGTATACAACCCTACTAAAAATTCTCTGCTGATATCTTCATCAGTTAAAGTGTAAGAAAGCTATCCCTTAAAAATTCCCAATTTTTGCCTGACTGTGTGATCAGGTTCTGCAAATGCCCATCTACCTGGCTGTCTCAAAACCCTGTAGCTAGAGGTGCTAAATGTGTGTTTATGTGTCAACTTTAAACCGTTATCACAGCCTACATGAGTCTTTTAAATGCTGGTGGAGATTTTCCTTAGCCTCTGATTTTAACAGTCTCTAACTGAGCTGACTGAAAAAAAACCAAAACCAAGAGAAGTGCTCTTAAAGCACTTCTCAACATGGTGAAGCACAGGATAGCTTTTCTTGATAATTTCTTAATTGTCTGTAGTTTTCTTATTACAGAACATCTATTAAAGAAATTAATGGGAATCATATTATACTTTATTTCCTGACTTTTTTCTTTGTAAAGACAAGAGCTAAATCGGGTATGATGTGCACTGACATTCTAGGTAAATATTTGCTGACTGATCCACTCCATCAAGTTCATGGTACTTCTTGTGCTTAGAGTTGTAGTTACCTCACCACAGACTTCAAACAACTATCCTTTTGAAGTGATCAAGAGTTATTTATTTTTTTTTCTTGGCCACTCTGATAATTTATGTCTCCTTTCCACATCTTCTTCATTTTATCATTGCTAATTTCCTTTTTTTCTCCCCAGCTTCTACTTTTGCCTCATGCTGTATCAGAGTGTCACAGACTCTCAGGCTGGTTTGGGTTGGAAGGGACCTTAAAGCTCATCCAGTTCCAAACCCATGCCACAGATAGGGACACCTTCCACTAGACCAGGTTGTTCTAAGCCCCTTTGTCCAACCTGGCCTTGAACACTGCCACGAATGGGGCAGCCACAGCTTCTCTGGGCACCCTGTGCCAGCGCCTCAGCACCCTCACAGGGAAGAACTTCCGCCTATGAGCTCATCTCAATCTCCCCTCTGTCAGTTTAAAGCCATTCCCCCTTGTCCTGTCCCTACAGGTCCTGGTAAAAGGTCTCTCTTTTATAAGAGTAAGATCCCTCTTTAGGTATTGAAAGTCCAAAATAAGGTCTGTCTATTCCAAGAGATGATAGTATTTTTTTTTATTCTTTATTTTTTTTGAGTTGATTTTCAGTTCGCTGGACCAGTTCCATATTTCTGTCAAGACTTTTTGGTTAAGCATATACGCAAAGATCACTGGTATTTATGAGCTACCTTTAGTTAAAGCAGAAATTGTGAAATTATGGTTCTGATGACAAATATAGAGGTAATAACTGTATATTACATGTGGATACAGCACAGTTGTAAATTAACAGTGAACCATGTAATTTTAGAGTGTAAGTCTTACAGCACAGAACAATGACAAATTGAGCATGAAGTAGAAAAAGAAAGTTCAGGTATGTGATTAAAGTCCTTATCACGAAGACAGTTTGTTAAATCTGTGTGGAAGCTTTTGTGAGGCAGATAAAAAATCACACTCAACTGATGAAACTTGCATTAAAAGTTCATAGCTATGTGGCATAGTTTTTTCCCTAAAATATTGTGATAAATAATGGTTTTGTATTAATTGCTGCAAACCTCTACCACTGAAGCAGCTTTTATTTCCTTAATAAAAATGTTTGGAAGTTAAGTAATTAAACAGTAAAGTTTATTTCTGCTAAGTATATTCCTAAATAAACCCTATTTTTGCTTCTTCCTGAAGGACTCCTGAATTCATAAGAGAGATTTATTGTTCATTGTAATGAACAGCTTGTTCTCCAAACAAGGAAATTATGAAGCATGAATTCTGCTCTTTGTTGCCTGTCTTCAAATAAGAGATGAAATTATCAGTTAAGAATACTTCTGTAAGGTTTGCATTAAGAGCATTGAATGAACTTCACCTTTCCTTTATTGACAGAAAATTCTTGATTAGTGTTTTTTCTGTTTAGGACATATTTGACAGTGACTGGTATACCTCCCGCAGTCTCATTGGAGGAGCTGATATTATTGTGATTAAATACTCCGTCAATGATAGGACTTCGTTTCAAGAACTAAAGGACAGTTATGTCCCAATGATAAAAAAAGCATTAAATCACTGCTCAGTTCCAGTGATAATTTCTGCTATTGGTGCAAGAAAAAATGGTATGTACCCAGTCTCCTGTAGCAATAGTTAAAATCTGACTTGGAATTTAGTTTTGCTGTAATCTCAGTAGAAGCTGATTGTTTTTCCAGGTTGCAATTACTTGGAAAAATCCACTCTGTCAGGATGACAGCACTATGTACATGTATTATGGTTCCATAGACCGGTGTATTGGCAAGAACATTATGCTTAATTAACCCAGGTGATGAAGGGCATACTATCCTGCTTTGACCTCTGCAACGTCTTCTTGTGGAGCCATCACACACAGGGATTAAATCTAGCCTCTTGGATGAAGCAGCGTACATTTGGGTGTACGAGATGAACCCTATGATTACAAGTTCTCTACTGTCATGTCTTAGCTATCAAATATTTCCAGTGTATGAGATTAAAACTAAGTCCATCAGCTTGCAACCAGTGGAATGGGAAAAGCCTCAAAATTCTCTGGGATGTTGTTGGATGAATGCATACACCAGCCCTTCGGGTACCACGAAGTGCTATATGCTGCTTCATCAACACAGTTGACCTCTCATGGCAGAGTAGTTATGGTATAGATATGGTATAGCTGTGGTATACCTTATGTACTCACACAATGCCCTGTCCAGGCTGAGCAATAGTCTGCTATGAGAACAATGCAAATCAGTTCTACACTGAACATCGAAAAATTTTGTTGTATTTCTGCTTAATCAATATAAAAATCACCATCACACAACTGTGTAAGGACTAAATCGACTTACAAGAGTCCAGCAGTCAACATGGGCAAGGCTGCTGAGAACATGTATGTTCACTGTTTGGACAGACATTAGTAACTCCTGTCTACAACAGGGAAATAAAATTCAGGAACAATACCACATATACCAATAGAACAAACACGCAGACTTTACTCTGTGTTTCCAAATGTTTTGCATTGTTCTTTGTTGATTTTCATATGGTCTTTTTACTCATGGACCCTGATTTCTCTTTTTTTTCCCCTGAGCCCTGAAGGCAAAATTTGAGCCTGTAGGTTGTCTTCTACTTTATAAGTTTGACTAAAACAAGTGTTTCTGAGCATCCTTCCTGCTATGAGTGAGAGACATGATGGATGTGGATGTAGACTTTTTTTTTTAAATGTACAAATAAATATTTAGCTACATGAAATGTGTTATCTGTGAATGTAATTCTCAATTTCCCCAGGATCTACTTATAGTGTACTTATATATACTTTTCCTCAGCAATTGAGAAAGGACTGTTAAAGAACCCTGTAATAATTACATTTTTGTTTTATCCCCTTTAGTAGTTCACTGTTAACAATCAAATGTTTTATGCTTTGATTTATACAGGGGCAATAAAACTGCCATTCTAAGGACAAGCTCTTGCTAAATTAATGTTTGTCTTCCCAATGCCATTTATTACACTTTTTATTTAGGCACAGGCTACCACCAATCTGAATTACTTTGCTATTGGCATCTTCCTTTCCACTTATTTTTTTCTGCCTTCCTCCCTAAATAATGTGACTGTGGGAGAAGCCAGGCAGTCGAGTTGCCGTTTTGCTTTGGGACCTGCCGGAGCGAACTGCTGGGCACACACAGAACCCTTTTGTTTCTGAAAGGTATTTGTGAACACAGCAGTTTGCTCATTCAAGTTACTAAGATCTTAATCCTCTGTAGTAGCAAACAGTGCTGCCAAAAGAAATAAAAAGAATACCCCAAACAAAACTGCTATTTCATGTTACCTGTAGGTCTGAGCAGATGAAATTAGTGAGGAGCATGCACAGCACATTTGAAAACACATCCATGGTTGGCAAGTTCTTGATGGCATTAAGCAAGGTTGAACTAAGGCAGCTAACAGACTTTTATCAGTTAACCAGTATAATCTTAAAACTACCTATTTTGGCTTAAAAAAAAATTATGTAGGCTACGTGTAATTGAACCATATTCTGCAGTATGTACATGACTATAACAGCCAGCAAAATCCTTTTGGTTACTGTACGTATTTCCTGCGTGGACAGGCCACAATAATTGAACAAGTTTAAGGTGGCAATAATGAATGGTAACACCAGCAAGCTAGCACAATACCTCGGTGTATAAGGATAGCCAGGCCTTAAGTCAGTCCTGGTTTCTGGAAGTCCTGCTTGGCTTTTAAGCCTTGGCAAAACCAAATGTAAATAACACTAGTGCCATTTACACTGACCTTTGTAGAACCAGTAATATTTTGAACTGATTAAGAAGAAGTTGGGTTTGGTTTTTTTCCCATATTTAGAGATTTCTTACTATAAAACTGCTGTGTTTCCCTTTCCTCCTTTGTTCTTTTCTAAATAATACATCTTTCCAATTATTTAAGAATGGATTATTTGACAAAAATGGCTGGTTTGTGCCACTTTTTACCCTAGGAGTGCCTTGTACCTGCCCCCTGTGCGCATCGGACAGAAGGAGCTGTGTCACCACTGCCGAAGGAGTTCAGCTTGCCAAGGAACTAGGAGCCACTTACCTTGAGCTGCACACTCTTAATGACTTCTACATACAGAAGTACTTTGGAGGCGTGGTGAGTGGGGAACCACTGAGTTGAAAGCAGGATGGCACAGCTGATGTTAGGGCTTCAGAGAGGAAGTGGAGGCACACCACAAGCCTTCCCATTGAGGGCGAGTTCCCACTGATGTGAGATTTAGATTAGGTTTAAAGAAGAAGTTCTTCCCTGTGAGGGTGGTGAGACACTGGCACAGGTTGCCCAGAGAAGCTGTGGCTGCCCCATCCCTGGCAGTGCTCAAGGCCAGGTTGGACACAGTGGCTTGGAGCAACCTGGTGTAATGGAAGGTGTCCCTGGCTGTGGCAGGGGGTTGGAACTTGATGAGCTTTAAGGTCCCTTCCAACCCAGACCATTCCATGGTTCTATCTGAATCGGTAGTACAGAGCTTGCTCTGGTTTTAGCTACCTTCTTGGAAGGTTTAGGAAATCTATACTGCACACTGCAGTAATTTTCCTTCTGTTCCTGTCCTTTTATCTTGCTGGATAGGATAATCAAAACCCCCCTGGACAAGGCACTTGAAAACCCTATCCCACTTGGAAGACAAGTTCTGTATTGAGTGGATTACCTCCACAGGCCCCTTCCAACCTTATTTATTCCATAATATTCTGGTATTTTAAATTTTAATTGCTTAAACTCTCACAGCTGTTCTACTGTAAAGTGACTATTTAATTGCCTCATTTTTAGTGTATTCTTGTGGCTGCTTAGTTCACAGTCATGACTCAGTCTGCAATCCTGACTAGAGCCTGAGGTCAGCTGCAGCAAAGCTGAGCGAGGCAGAAGCCAAGAGGCTTGTTAAAATGTTCCACCTCTAATGAGCTTCTTGTTCTTCTTCCAGTCTGAAGACAGGAAAGCCCACTGAGCAGTTTCTAAATACAGTCTTTTAGACTTATTTGTCTTCACAAAATTATTTCACACTGAGAAATTTTCAGTATTGTGAAACGTTTTAAGCTCAACCTATTTTTTTAACCTCTTGGTTACTGCCTGGTGGCATTTGGATTTGAACACAAAAATGTAGTTTTTTTGGCCCAGTAATTTCATATGGTCCTTACAACAGTAAAGACTAGACTCTGTACTGGTATATACATGCGGTGTATTTTCCATGGGATTTGATCATAAATTGGAATATCTGGCACAGCAGTAGCCCATTTGTATTCATTCCCAATTAAAAAGATGAGAAATGCACTCAACACATGGTCTGGCCAGAGTATGTTTCTAGGTTTTAGAAATCACTGTGTGTGCTACAGTAATACCTTGGGTGATAAAAGCATTTAAAACATGCATTAACTTGACCCGAATCACCCTTTGTGCCTCTCTGTTCCCGTAAAAGGTATCATTTCCCTATAGGTACACTTTTATTGCAGTTACGAAGCTTGATGCCTGCAAAGATCCTGTTGTAATATGACTTTTTCAGAGTAAACAGTAGCATTGTGTGGTCATATATGGTTTTGTTATTTCCATTCCTCGTGCCTGATCATCTTTTGTTAAGTCTTGTTATTCTGTGTAATTCTGTAATTAGCATCTATGGAAGTTCGTAAATTGAGTATCTTTGTGCCTGTCTTTTCTGGGAAGACTAAATACAAGAGAATTAACCAACATAATTTGAATAAATAGTATTTTGAATTGTGCTAATTCCACACCCATGTGGTGCCTTCTCCTGATAAAAGAGTTTGGGACTCTTCTGGGTGACTGTTCATAATGACAGTAGCTTCAGTCATGAGCATACAATATGAGCATACAATATGAGCATACAATACCCATTCATTCTTCTTAGTCTGATGTCTAGCTTGTTCTTTAGTAACTAGGATATTTTTAAAAATACATTTCGTGTTTTAGCTGGAATATTTTATGATCCAAAGTTTGAATCAGAAGTCATCTCAAAAAATGAAGAAAAGGAAAAAGATGCCGAAGTGTCATCGAGTTCAACCACCTCAGCTTGAACAGCCAGGTGCTTGCTGATGTCTCATCTCTAATATCGTTTGTGATGTGTGTCATGTTCTTGGTGCAATTAACATTTTGTATTCATTATACTGTGAGCTGTGCTATCTATCGTCAGCTATTCTGGTTATGTTGCTGTAGTTGCATCAACCTTTACTGACATTTTAATTAAGTTGGGGACAATTGTATAACAGTACGTAACATTGCAATGGACTTGAATTTCTTTCAGATTAAAATAATAGGGGTAGTTTTCTGGTGCATTTGATGAAATAATGCAGATGTAAATTATTAAAAGCTTTACATAAAAGCTTTACAGAAAAAAGATAAAGTCATTACGTCATTTATTATTCTTTATTATTTTTCTTTTTATTTTTATTTCTTATTCTACAATATCGTCAAGTAATATTTTCGTTTGCTACAAAAAAACTAAGGGAGAGGTGTATGCTTCTGCACATGATTTCCTGATCTTGATTTCTTAGCATCTGATGCATTTATTCAGTGAAATAATTACTGGAAAGTGGTTAACTCTAAACATGTAGTTGTCTCTTCTCACATGTTCTAGAAATGCACTCAGATCCCTTAGGTCTGGGATTCATGGGCAAATGTTTCTTTCAAACCGGAGTGCCTAGAGAGGTTTTGTGAAAGGAGGGACACATCTTACTAAACTAAGTATTTCTTGTATTTCTTATTTTACTATAGTAGGTATTTTAAATTTTAGGGTATTTTACTAGACAGATTCAATTAGCATATAAGAAATTTTCTTATCAAGTGCTTCTTTCAAAAATTATCCTTCATTTGATTGGGTCTCTAGGAATAGAGTCATCCTGTGGTTACCATTTGCTTCAATTCTACATTCTGACTCTATATCTTTCTCAGAAAAAATGCCAATCTTGAAAGGTGAAGCCTCACACTACGATGCGGACCTGCACAACCTGCTCTGTTGCTGTCAGTGCGCGGATGTGGCGTTCTACCCCGAGGACCTCAGCACAGTGGTGGAGGCTCACAAGGTCATCCTCTGCTCTGTCAGCCACCTCTTCATGCTGCTTTTTGAAGTGAAAAGCCCTGTGGACATCTGTGATGCCTCCATCATGCAGATGGCGCAGAGCCTTTTCACAGTGGAGGCAGAGGCTGCCTTCCCACAGGCGCCCCGTGGCATCCCACCCTGCGTCCCTCTGGTGAGGGTGGTGGTGAAGGACTCTGCCTTCTGCTTGTGTCTCCCAGACATCCTCCACTTCATCTATTCAGGTACCCACTGGGAATGGGTCTGGCTACTCAATTCTGATACAGCTGATGTCTTGTGAAGGAGTATCTGCATCACTCTAAGGAATATGCCTTTGCTGTTGGGAGATGATGTTCTTCTTTGGTGCTATATCTGTTTTATACCTTGTGATTATCACAAACAAGGTCTGTATGAAAAAAGGTATAATAAGAATATACTTTATAATTACAAATACTATTTTA